CGTCATTGTTTTTATTGTCAGTAGTTTAAAGTACTTCATACTGATCTATTATAATTGAATTTAAGTATATTACAGTTCTTTATTAAGACAATATTCAAAATTATGAATGAAATTATTTATATATGAAAAATTTTTGAGAAATTTAACTCAATAATTTATTCTTTAAGAAACCTCTTAAAAAACGCTGTAACTAAATATTTAAATATTGGTTTTTTATTATAATTATAAAGTTTTAAATAATACTCATTTTGATAGATAAATGCTGTAGTCGTTTCTATGACTTGTTAAAATTATCACATTCAGTAATATATAATTGCTGTAATATAGCACTAATATTTCATCAGAGCAAAAATCGTTAGCAAAAATGCTGCACAAGAACAAATTTTCTTTTTGTATTAATCTTTTCATTAAACAAAATGCTTTTGTATATAGACGAAGATAGATAGTAGGCGAAAAAATGTTTTCTTGTGCTATACAAAACAATGCAGTACCATCGTAAAAAAAATATTAGAAAAAGAAACAAGAAGTGCTACACAAGCACTATATTAAAGCACAAACTAAGGAATATAAGTCTAGATAAACAAGAAGTGCTAAACAAGGACTAAATTGAAGGTCCAAAGAAAAACTAGGAAATGTAAATATAATATAGGAAATACACAATATATTAAAATTTATTTTATTTGTTTTATTTTTAATTTATTGACAGCTTGCTTACCCATTTACCATGCTAATTCATTAAAATTTTTTAAGAATAAAATGTACCAAAGTCTTAAATGAGTTTTAAATATCTACTGTAATTTAAATTTATTATGTTAGTGTATTAGATATTACTCGTTTAAAATCAAACTAAATCAAATCATTTAAATTAAGAATTTTAATAATAATTTTGTTTAACTCGTTTAATTATAAGAAATATTTTTTTTTTATTCTTTAAAAAATTTTATTGGAACCAATATTTCGACTATATTCTAGTCATCTTCATGGTACTATAATGTTCTTATAATATAACAATAATTTAATATAAATCATAAAGGCATAATTATACAATAGATGTATTGTATTGTATATATGTATGTACATATATTATAAATACATAAAATATTTTATTTTTTTTATGTTTTGTTTTTTTTTTAAAACCAAATAAAAATTTTTTTTAGTAGTTTATTATATAACTATTGACCAATAGGCCGTTTAAAAACAAAATTATTATTAAAAAAATTTTGGTCATTAAAGCAATAAATTATTAAGCGTTTAAATGAAAAAAATAAAGTCTTAAATACCATAAAAGCCGAATTAAGATAATAATAATGATTATTGTACTATTATTAATATTAATTATTAATTAATTATAATTTATTACTGAGATCTTACAGTATTACACTTCATTCTCAGTGTTATTTTATTTTTTTATTGTTAAATTTTATATATTAATAACGTTGTAAGAATTCTGGAACTACATGAAATTATAAACTATGTTATATCTAACAATTATATTTAATATTATATATTATATATATTAATTATATATATTATATATTATGTATAATAAGAAAGTAAAAGAGCATAAGTATATTATATATAACATATAATATTATATATTAATATTATATATAATATACTTATACTCTTTTAGTTTCTTTTGGTATGAAAAAAACTTAGGTCTAATTAAAAACTTTATTTATTACTTTTATTTTAAAAACAGGTTAATTGTTTAATGTTTTAAATAATACACAACTCTTTATTTAAAAACTTTTACTCTATTTAAAAATATATTTTCGAAACCTCTCTCTCTATAAAATACTAAAGTTTCTATTAAAGTAAAAGTGGTCTGTTATATTGACGTTAAAAGCGAATTTAATATATTCAAAAACTATATTTTATTTTCAAAAATATTTAGACTATGGTTTATAGTCATATGAAGTCCGATTTAGAAATAAAGATAATAATAAAAAACTTTCAATGGTAATTAAGAATTATCATATAAGGTTTCTAACGTCAAACCTGTTATTTTGACGAATAACAATAATTGGCAATACAATAGTACTTTAGGGTCACAGTATATTGTTAAACCCATATTAGATTATACATATCTATCTACTAATAATATAAAATATGTTTTCTATAAATTCAAAATTTTATAAATATTTCTAAATTTCTTACATTGGCGTTTTTTAGTTTTCGCAGAAGTACTTCAAATACTTCATTTTAATTATGTTGATGTCCTGCTGTTTTTTAACACAATTCCAAGGTAAAATAAAAACAAAATCCTTATTCAGGAGGCACGCAATACCATTACACTTCATTTGGCATAGCCTCAAGTTATTTGTACAAATTACAAGCAAATAAAGTTCATGTATCGTCAATTGCTTGACTTCATATGCCACCTATGGTCCATGTCCCAGGCGTGTGTCGCTGTCAACTGTGTTGTGCAATGTACACAGCACAGCGCTGTGTTATGAGTGCAATGTTTTATATGAAAAAGCGACAAGGACAAGATGAAAAGCTAACGTACGCTCAATTTGCACAAGAGTCTAACGTAATTGTTTTAAATACAATTACAACAAAAATACCATATAAATTATATGAAAAAATATTTAAAAAAAGGAGGAAACTACTCAAGAAATATGAGGGCAAAAAATCACTTTCAAGTAGAAACAAACACTTCATATATAATGTTGTTTAATCTATTAGTCTAAGTTCTCGCTGGCGCTACCACCCATGGCTTTCAGGGATTACTAATGATATGTATATATGAGCAAATAATTTACGATAAACTTAAGGCTAAACTTACCATTTGGAAAGACTTGTCGCATTTTCAAATAAGACGTCGTCAATCTTATGATCGAAGCTTTGTCTAATTGAGATGTAATTGCACTTGGTAATGGTAATAATTTTGCCAGTTCGAAGAATTCTGTGTTCTCTTTTTCACGTCTGGTGCGAGCAGCATTTTTACTTTTTTCCTTCATGGCACAAGTTTTAGCTAAACCTGTAAATAATACGAAAGCAACACATTAATATTTATAGATTTTTCAGTTTATATTTATATATGCCAAGCACTGATGCACAAGCGGAAGAATCATAAGGATTCCAGACTAGGAAAGATGGGCTCTATACTGTCTTTCATTAAAGAAATCGGACTTGAAGAAACACTCTAATCCGATAAGGGATACAATAGATCTTTTAGGTCGCAGTGCACTTCTTCAGTGCCCTTCTTTTAATAATACTAATAATGTTTCATTACTTGCTATTGCTTTATATATTACTAAATAAATCTTATTACTTTTAAAGTGAACACACCTAAAAAACTGTTTTGATTACAATCTCTTAACACTTTTCTTTGAAACTTCATTTTTGAATGCACTGGATATTATTAATTTAATTAAATAAATTTTCTTTTAAAAAGAGCAACACGATCTTTACACGATCTTTACACGATCATCACCTGTTCACAACTGTTAAGTTAGCCAGCATCTATACTGGTTATATAAATATCTACACCATTTTCAGGAAAGTGCGAAATTCCAAAATACATACAGCAACAAGTGTACCTGTTTAAGTTATTTACGATTGGTCAAAATTAAAAAATCTGTGATACTTTACTCCATAATTTTACCTTTTTCAGGATAAAAGGAAAATAATATCGATTTTCTCATATCTCTTCATGTATCTGTTCATAGGTACATTGCTGCATACGCAATCTTAAGACAATGGCAACCTTATTGACTTCCAATACAATGGTGAATAGTGACTGCAAATCCACCACTTTTTCCTACTAAATAAAACAACAACAATTTGGCTAGTGATATCTTCTTGTGTATCTTTTACATATAAAATTCATTCATAATTTTTATTTACTATTTTCTTTTAATTTTTTCGTTTTGAACATGGGCGTCTTGTTGTCTGCAAAATTTCTTTGTTGTTCTTACACACGAGTCAACAGGTGGTCATTAACCGCAGGAGATTAACTTAGTAACACTATTTTGTTGTTATGTTGCACTACACTATATCTCTCCATATATGCATATATGTAATACTTGTGAATATAAATTGTTATATCCTTTTACTCATAATTGCCTTATATCATTTTTTATTTATTTAAATTGTACATGTTTACTTTATATACATATATGCTTTGACTTTGTAGCCTTAATGCTATCTACAATGGTAGGAAGGAAGGAAGGAAGGAAGGAAGGTTACCTTTAATTTTGACATGGGAAAGAATTTTGAAAATTTTTGGAAAATAGACACCAAATTAAAATTCATTGATAAAAACTAATGTATTTATTTTTACAAAATTACTACAGGATGTATTTGTATTTGAGGTATTTGATAGCAAGATGAAGTCATTAAAGGTGAAAAAAAAAATTATATATAAAATAAAGTAATAGAAATAAAACTATTTTTATTTGATTTATTTTATATTTTTTTTTTATTTTACTAAAGTTTTTGTATTTGTATCTAAATCATTTTACAGAATTCTTTAAGAATAACTAATTTAGACATTAGGTTTAAAATCAGATTAAAAAAAAATGTTTGATAAAAAATGTTTTATTAAAAATTAGTTTTAATTTTATTAAATTTGATCATTTGATCAAACTATTTTTTTGTAAGAAATGTTTTTAGAACAATAGTGAATTACATCAACAAAATTTAATCAATTTCTTATTTGATTTAATTTTTAGTCCCTTCGAGTAGTACCAATAATCAGTGGTCTTTTAGGAAATATTTTTTATTTATATTTAATTTAATATACTTAATATATTTATTTGTCAAAGGTTCTAAGTGATTCTAATCCTTGGGTTTTTAATTATACGGTAGCAAAATGGGCCTATAAGCCTAAGTAGATCTTTTGGCACCGCCGGTATAACATAACCTAACCCAATTTATTTAATTATTCGTAAATAATTTTTTGAGAATGAAAGTTATTAGGGTTAAACATGTACTCTCCAAGAGTGAGTGTTTGCGACACGGAGATACAGTGGGAGGATAACATAAAATATCTGGGGGTCACTTTTGACAAACGGTTTAATTGGCTTAAACATTTGAAATACAAACGGAATAGCTGCTCTAAGATTCTACATTTATTAAAGCCGCTATTTAATTCACGCAAGTAATTAGACCTGCACTACTGTACGGATGTGTTACATATTGCAAAGCCTCAAATACTACCTTAAAGCAATTACAGATAGCTCAAAACCTGGCTTTAAGAAAACTGTTTAAGATTCCATGGTATATCCGTCATCAACTAAAAGACAAATAAATGATATGATTTTTTTTTTGAGCCTAGTTAAAGCCTAGTGTGGGGTAGAGATAAGCCCCCCAGCCATTATAGAGTAAAAGTGCGTAATAGCACTAACTCAAGAAGAAGAAGAATCAAGATGTACTCTGTGAATTTTTATTAATTTCTTATAATTAAAAAAATTAAAAGAATATGTTGTTGTAATTCAGTACTCTGCTAAATCCTTACAATTTTGATTTGATATAAGTTTTAAAATGTGATTCGCTCTTTTCAAGTCTTAACTCGCTTAATATATAGATTATACTTATTTTAGAAACCACCCAATATTGAAACCATAGGGAAAATGATACTACTTTATCGTATCGCCAGATTGACATAGTTAGTTCTATTGGTGGCGGCTCCAACATTACTCAATTTTTCCGCCTTTTCAAAATCATAGTCACTACTAAATAGCTTTTTATCGAAAGTAGCATATTACTCTAGATATATGTACCACGTTTTGTAAATTTTAATTGCAGCAAATTATTTTAAGAAACTGACAAATACAGTATTAACATGTACTGTAGATTTAAAATTTGAAGACGAAGTTTCTTTCAAAAAGTTTGCGAAGTTTCAAAAAGTTTGGTGAGTGCTCTTTCATCTTTGCCGCACCTGAAGGAGTTTTTAAACGTGTTCCTGCCAAGGAATCCCTATCTTAATATTAAGTAAACACTTTTTAATTTTTTTGTTTATTATTCGAAATAATATCCTTTTAACTTTTTAGAAACAATGCTCTTCTTGAATTTCTTGAACCCTCTAAATTGAACAATGTCTCCAGATCAGTTATCGTATCATACAAACTCTAAACTTTAGAAATCAAAAATAATCCACATATCTAATAAATAACTCGAATAATGAATAAATTCGAAACGGAATTCGTGTATTTTAGTTATGACAACTATTGAACTTCTTTCATTGATTTCATTCATAGAATATAGTAGCTAGTATGTGACTTCCCTAAAGTTACAGCTGCAATCAGTCGATTCTACTGCAAGAGTAATCTTCCCAACTTAAAGAACAGTTTTCGTATTTTTTGGAGCTTTTTCATCATTTCACTGTTTAAAAGATCCCTACGGTAGGCGACTCCAATAGTCGCCTTCTCCATTTCAAGTAAAAATTTTGTATTCTTTGGAGCTCTTCCTTCTGAAGCTTCTTTACTGTTTCCATTGTTCCTTGATCTCCGGAGTGTAGCAGAAAAATTTCATAGATTTTATTGGAAAAATTTTTTTGATTATTAATAATTATGAAACTGTTTGCAATCAATGTATATTAAAATTATTTAATATTAATTTATGTAATTGTTATGTATTGTCATAAACAGATTTCAATGAAATTAATTATCTTTCATAACTTTTATAGACTTTAGATTTGTCTTTTTTATGATATAACTTATGTTCTGAAAGCTTTTATGGGAATACGTTAAATTGTAATTCCTTGAAATATTATGGAATTATGCATTGAAATAATATTTGCAATTCATGTACCAAAAAAAACAATTTGTTATTTTTATTGTATTTCCCTTGAAATGATAAATGCAACTATTATTGTTTTCATCGAAAAGAATGGATAGAATGGAAAGAATGTAAGGCATTCGGCAAATGTCAATGTACTAAGCACAGTTCCAAAATCACAGCCTACAAAATAGGGCAGTTGGCAATTGTCATAGAACCCGTAATATAAGCGTTGCGGATAGCAGCAGCCGTTAAAACAACAACAGCAACAGATTTCCTCAATGGTCTTAATCCCTAACAGCGTCATAACTAATCCGCAATTTAAATGTGGCAACATGCACGCTTGAAGTGCCTCACACAGCCGCCGCTGCAGAACAACAGACTTACCGGCGGAGTCGCGGCAATTTTTTGATGTTAGATGTTGATGTTAGATGTATAAAATTCATAACTTTTTTGTTCGGTTATAAAAAGTTATTATAGTTTTTAACTACATAAAAAGTTAAACACTTCCTGTAAATTTATTTTATCCGCAATAAAGTTGCGAATTTTCTTTATCAGATGTGGACAAATTACCATGAAAATATATGAGTTTAAGTGACAATGATAAATTATTGCAGTTTGGTTTTTTGTTCTAATATTTAAGGATAATACAATATTGCATTAATATAAATTAATATTGTATATTGGAGAGATTTAAGATTAAATCATAAAACCATTTTTATTGTAAAATTTTTTAAAATGTTTTTTTCAAAATATGTCTAAAATTACAATAAATATTTTTTTATAGCTTTTTAATTAATTCGATGAACTTACAGAGTTTCTGTTATATATAAAAAACTAAAAGACATTTTTTATAATAAAAAAAAAGTCCAAAAAAGTCACTTCTAACAGTACGGTGGGTTAGAATAAGTCTATGCAAAAATCCTCGGTCATGATTTCCTTCCATTTTTGTTATTAGATGGCCAGTTATTATTGGTGAATAGTTAGTGGTTTACCATTCTCCGTAGTGAAGATTGTGATAATTTAATGGTATAGAATATTTAATAATACATAATTATTTATAATAATTTGTCACATGATTTTAATTAATTTTTTTTTTTCATTAGAAAATTCGTAAAGCTTTCACAAAAGAACTTTGACATTTTTTACGCTTCGGAAAATATTATTTTTATTTCTGAAATTGTCTAACTGGTCAATTATTTAAATAGTTTACAATTTTTAAAATTATATTTACAAATCAAATTTAATTTTCACCAA